GAGTGGTTATCTTGGGAACAGAAGATGCTGTTGGTACACACCAATGACCCCAAATTCTTGTCTGAGATTTCTTAGAAGAACTTGTCTTCTCTACCTAGTGCCGGCTGGCGCATGAATTGGTACTGCTCATACGTGTACTCTTAAATAGTTCTGCATTACTCAGGAAACATTAAATCTACATGGTTTCTTCTAACCATGTTCATAGTGTTTCATCCCTACACCGTCCCAGTTAATTTAGCTGTAGACCCTGCTAAATGCAATGGCATGGAAACTGGAAGAATGACATGGGTCCTCGCCGGAATTGGGAAAAGAGCTTTTTCTGGGTGGGGTGGGGAGTGAGGCAAATGAAAACTCAGCAGCAGCACATTGAAGAACCATCGATGGCAAAAGGGGTGGATTCTGAGATGTTTCCAAGCAACTTGGTGATTTTATCCCCTCTACCGATCTTTCCATTTATTTTCTTTTTTTCTTGATAGTTTTGCTTTTTATTTGGAAGGTACATGTAGGTTGTTGGAAGGGTGGCAAATAGCCCCACTTCCCCAAAACTCTTGAATGGAATTCTCTGCACGTTCAGGGGCAGACAACCTTCAGATTGCTGCCATTTTTATGAACATGATGGTGCTGTTTTCGGCCAGAATAGAGTTGGCCCCTGTTTCATTTTGCATTTACCATATGGCTCCGGTGTAAGGTGGATTCACTTGTAGCTACATGTACATGTAAACTATTGAACATGTCACAAGTTGGCAATTTCAAGAGGAGTGGTCCTGAAACAAACAGCTGGTCGGAGTCGTTACAATGCTGGTACATCGGCAATGCCTCAATTTTTAAAGTTATTAGAGGTGCATCATCCCAAAATACCTATGTACCATGCGTCAGAGGGATTGAGGAGCCAATTTGGGGAGACTGTGGCTGGAAAATGTGAGAATCAAATTGCTTCACCAGGTTAGGCAGTTGAAGACAGTCTTCTAAGTAACTATAGCCGGTACATTTACTGCAGTTGAGGTGTAATCCTTGACTTAAACAGCATTTTGACTCGTAATAAAGAATGTTGATTTATTACAGAAATGTTCACTCAAGATCAGCTGGAAGACCAACAATAAGGCTGCTGAAAGAACAAGGTGACTTGGGCCCTTCTCCATTTGACTACTAATTTGAAAATCTACTAGTAGACAAAATGTTTAGCTCACAGCAAATGAAGCTGTATTCCTTTCTCAGTTTTCACTTGTATGACAAGGTGCTGTTTTGCAGGTTACAGACTTTGCATGTTACAGCATCTAGCTCCATTTGGTACCATATGTTGCTTCCTCTGCAGTTATTTTACATAAAAAATATTCAGGGGAAAGACTTCTCCATGTTTTTAGGTAACTGTGTTTATGTCTCAGTTGGTTTTCTTACAGCTTGCCTTCTCGTAAGTGCGGCTGATAGGCCTGCTTTTCTTCCCTTCTGAAACGCAAATACAATAAAACTGTAATGAGTAACTAAATACAGACACTTTCCTTCTTTCCTTGACCAGGGGCAGAAAATGTCTTACTCCATGCCTTTGATGGAAAGCCCTCCAATGCCATGTTAGGTGTGGAAAATGGGTACTACTTCTCCATACCGCCCTCTATAGTTAGAAGTGAACAGGTACCTCTTTTTTCTGTTACGAAAATGCAGATTGCATACACCATCCCAAATTACTGTTATATACACTGTAGGAAAGGTCAATTTTGTGACAATATAATGCAAAGACTAGTTTTGAATAGAAACATTCTCAAACTGAATGACATCACCATTATCCCTTGACTGACCCCCCACTCATACATATAAACAACCTCTAAAATTATTGTTTAAAAGTTACTCTGTACTGATGAGACTTGTAAGTTACCATGTTTTATGATAATTGCATCAAAAAGTCCCTGCAAATACATACGTTAAAAAATTTGACAAGCCATTTCTTAATTTGCGCTGTTTTCTCAATTGAAAGAGTAGGCATTGGCTATAGGCTGAAATAACAGAAATACGTGCAAGTGTGGGTGTGTATTTTGTAGAACAGACTTTTATCCACTTCTCTACTTTGAACACCTCAAAAGGTCTTTACTCCAAGGACGGTTTGGGACAAAAGTCTCCTGGGTAATTAGATGGAAAACTTCTTTCAGCCTCAACAACTTTGTGGTCTGGTTTTTCTCCCTTTCTTGAAAGAAGCAGAAACTTGTAAACCAACTGCCTCTGGATAGGATCCTTCTGGAGACCGACTCCCCAGCACTTGCCGCCGAAAAACAGGTACTTTCATCTGACCAAATTTTTCCTAATTCGCTGAGTGCCCTCCTTTCAGGGATGAGTAGCATCTTAGTAGCATGTGTACAGGAAGCAAACTCACGCATGTGCAGGAGTTTGAATACATATAAGAAAGCAGCTGGTTTGATAGAAATCTGACAGCCCTCGTGTACACGCAGCCTACTCTTCATTGGGCCTATAGTTCACCAGTTAATTGAAATATCCACATATTGGCGGTTGCCATAGTTCAGCGTTAGGCTATAGACGTTTTTCCAGTGATGTCACAATCATGCTGGACCTATGTTGTGTTGTGATGGTGATGAGTGCGTAGTGTTGTGATGGTAATCTACCTATTCAAGATAAACTAGTCAGGCATGCAGCGTTCGCACATGCGCTTGCACGTGGTTGAAGCTGCCCGTAGGAATATATGCGATCGCTGTGACTACAGCGGTCCACAGGTGGTGGATATTGTTTATAGTTAGCACAGTCCAGTCATGTGGGTGAAAAAAGTCTACTAGTGTTTCATTCTTTACAAACAGAGCCATTTCCATAACCATGCAGAATGTAAACCATTATTGTGAGGAAAATTAGTCCGGGGGGGGGGGCTGTTGTACATCTTAATTCTCTTTCTACTTTGCATTCAGTTGAGATGGACTGTAGTTTCCTTTTATTTTGATGTTGCTGACACAGACTCGAAATGAGCCCAAGAATATCTCCGTTAGTTGTGACTACATTGCCAAAGTGAAGGGTGTGTCAGCAGAGGAGGTGAGGCGGATTACGGCTGAGAATGCCCTGAGATTGTTCCCTAAACTGCACAGGTTGATACACAGGTGATTGAGCAGAGACACCTTTGCAGACGAGTACATAAAATCATGAGCACATAAGTCATTCAATGTACTTCCACGTAATTTATTCCACCAATGCAAAAAATGATTTAATAATGTTTATTACTGTACATGTAGTTTGTCACACTGAGGAGCAGAATATCTTTAGACCAGAGCCAATCAAAGTGCTTAGTTGGAAGCTTAATTTGAAAAAGGGAATTCAGCTGTATGGATGAATTGGGGCCATTTTCATTAAACTACTGTGAAAGTAAGTTCCAGTACTTGGCAGAACGGGATACAAAGGCACTGATAAATACATTTATAATATACTGGTATGCTTCCAACTTTCTGATTGGATTAATTATACGGGTAGAATACCCCTTCATATTTCTAATATGAAATTTAAACATCATTCACAGTTTGAGTACGTGTAGAATTGTCACAAAGAAGACTAACGTGACCTTGTGCATTGACATTCATGTAAAAATAGATGGGAAAAAAGGGCAACAAGTAAAACATCCCTTGCCTTTCTTAAATTTTCCATGGTCTGTGAAAAATTAGACAAACGGAGTTCATCTTTATCTATCCCCCTCATACTCGGAGACTACATATCTCCACCCTTGAACTGTAACTGAACTTGTACATGGATAGGAACTTTGTACTTCATGGGGCAATGCGATTTCTTTATAGCAGGTGCTTGTATCAGAAAGTCGGCTTGTCTTTGGGAACATTTCAGTGGGCATCAAGGCAAAGACAAAGGACATCAAGGTCAATGCCGCTGTTGCCTCCATGACGTTCCTGCCCTAGTATAATACTTTGGATCCAAATGTCCATTTTTGTTGTTTATACTGAAAATATGCATATATTCCAGAAGAAAAACTTTGTTTTGAAGTTCAATGAAGTAAGAGCACTGGATCTTAACCATGTAATGATTCATTTGTTTCTGAAAATACCGTTAGATATTTTTAAATGTGTAAGTAATTTGCATAAAAGCCATACATGTATTTCCATACTGCAAATTATTCACACTGACATGTGCGTATATATAGCAATAAGATGTTGGATTATGTAAAATGCAAACATTGCGTGTATGGATAAAAGAACGAGCATTTTGGTAGACAAAAATAAAGACATGCACAGTGTAACTGCTGCACGTTACTTTTAAAATTAAAAAGAAAGCTCCCTTCAACATGTGCAAGCCTTAGCATATATATTTGCAAAACTTTAAGTATTTAGATCTCAGATTTTGAACTGCGAATAAAAAGTCTGACTAGCAGAAAATTGATATGCATTTCTCTACATGAATATCCCAAAATATGAACATGTATTTGCACTGTTTTTCAAGCAAAGTACATGTACATATATGCACATGTACATGTATTTAACCATACTAGTGGAACTTTGCTAAAAAGTGGTATTTAACAAAACATTCATAAATTGCCGCATGGTGGTTAAGCTTTTGCTCCATGTATGTAGAATAGGCCTGCTGATTGGCTTCCTGATAGACATTTGAATAAATACTATGCTCTTGTCACAATCTTGCATATACAATGTACAATGTATGTAGATTTTGCAAGGTCAACTATTGATGTGTACATTGTTTACACATTGTGTTGTAGGAAATAAAATCTTTACAAAATAATAACCAGACGTTTTGAGGGTCGCATAGAGTCTGTAGTATTCATTTTTGTTTGCCTGAAAGCATCCTAAAAACACCCATATCTTGTATTCCACATCAGCTTATATATTAAGTTCAGAAAACGCCTTTGTGGTCAACTCAGGATTTTCAAGATATTAAGAAAGATTGGTTGAAAGGTCCTGAAATCAGGAAACTGATGCTTAGAAATCTGGAATTTAAGAAAATTCTGGACAAATCTCACCCCTTACATAACTTCTCAGAAGCATTTTAAAGAAAATAAATACAAATGAAAAGCAATTTATAGCCAAAATATATGTACACTTTGATTGTATGGTTATGCAGTGTTTCAAAGGATTAAAGAAAATTACAGTGAAACCAGTTTCTAGTAATGTACGCCCTGTACATGTACTTATGTATGGCCAGAGCTACCTACAGTGATAGAGTTAAAGTCATAAAAGCCGACCTCCAATGATAATACAGCAGTAAACAGAGATTAGGTATTACCCCCTTAATTAACTAAAATCAGTATCTTTAAGATGTCCACACAAACAGTTACAAGTAAAATAAATGATGCCCTTGTTGCAGTGCGCTTAAATAGCCTGACTGGAATTCTTGGAAGTCTTTTGATGGTCTCATGAGGCCTTGTGATGATTTGACTACAAAACTGACCAAAAATATAACACGGGCCGAGGCCAGCAGGAAGTTTAATTCTGCGTCAGCACCCACCAGCATATTCTTCTCAAACTAAGCAGAGTTACGTATGACCAAGTTCCAATTCGTCAGCCCAGTGTCCAGTGAAGATGACTTGAAGCTTGCCCATTCACTTAAGTGTTGCACATGGCCCACTGTTTGTCAGTTAAATTGCTAGATGGCTGTAGTCTGTAGAATAAGCAATTACATGGTTTTTGATTAGCATTACCCAAATCAATTAAATCATAGAGACAAAGGGGCTTGAGCTGTGGGTGAAGTACCTGACTTTACAGTTTCACCCCATTTCACTTTGCCCTAACGGGAGGGGGGGTTGCCAAGTGGATGCATGTGCTCCCTCCATTTGGAATCTGTGAATAATAGCTATGTAGCTGTAACTTCTTTTCTCGTTTTGCCCTGAAAAAATGTGTGCCCCCAGACATTACTTTTAGTTTGAACTTATAGGCAGATACTGCAACCTGGGCGGTTAATGCCCAAAAGATTCCAATTAAGGAAATTTGCCAAAGAAAAGCTTACATGTACGTAATCGTCAATAAGATCTCTGCCTACAAGCCTATGCAAAGTAATGCAATATAGAGTAACATGGCCAGGCAACAAAGTTATCTAATTTTTTCGATTTGGCAAAGTCAGCGATGGTCTTTGCCTTTAGGAGCGAAGTTATGTTGAAAAGTGTTGTAATGCACATACTTAGTTGCATCAAAATATACTAGTTATCGAAACCTTTGGTTTACTTCAACTCTTTATCGATCACGTAATGTGAATATTGCATTTGTAATGTCAAGCAATCTCAAGTATCAGACAGCTCACACTGGTAAGATGATCTCTCGCTGCCTGGTGATGTCTTTGTTGTGTTTTTTTAATTAAAATTCAATTTTGTGTTCCTGTCTAATTTACAAGTCAAGTT